TCCCTCCCTCACCAGCACAAACCAGCCGAGCACCCCAGAGGCAAAAGCTGGGCTAGTTCCACGCTGCCCCAGGAGGGAGCACAGTGGCCCAGGGAGGCAGCTGGAGCCCATGGCAGATGATCGCCTGGGTGCTATCCGTGGGGCTGGCTCACGCAGCAGCCCTGAAGCTGCCAGTAAAGGGCCATTCCAGCTGGCATTTGCTTCCCTACCCCCTCTCCCACCAGCAGTACAGCTAACAGGTGCAGCTAAACTTCAGTGGGATTTTCTCCACCCTGAGATGGAGAACGACACCCACTGACACATACAGAAATAGATCTTTGTTCCAATATATGGAAAGAATCCCTGGAAATTTAAATGACATCTCAAAAAGCAGCAATTATCTACTGCATATTTTAATGAGTCTACCCACCGAATTTTTTTCTGGCATTGGAGAAGGCAATCCCATTACACCTAGAAACAAAGCACAAGGAAGGATTTTTGCCTATCCATTTAACTATAAATTTGAAAACTAAACAAAGGGTTTAATATCTTAACTAGTCTTCAGGATATCTTAGTCAGAAAGCAAAGACAGCTTCAATTCAGCATTCGGAAGACATTGGTTAAATATTCTTTCAAAAACATACTGAATTAGATAGCAGGCTACATTCATCACAGATTTGGCAATGTCTGTGCCACACCAGAATGTGTCACAGATGCCTGAACCAGCCCTCAGATGCAGAAATACATGAAGGAAAAAAAAAAGCAACAGAAATTTCAAAAAGTATATAAAAGGAAGCAATGTTTTTCTTACTGTGACAACCTACAGGTCTGTTCTTATGAAGAGCCGCTCTTCTAAAAAATACTTCCCCTGACCCTTGTTTTGCTAAATAAGGTGTAACAGTCGTATATACTGGTTTTGCTGCCTCTCAGATCCAAACATACTTTTTCTCCTGCATTGTTTTCTTGCACACTTAAAAGTTTGAGCTATATGTCATGTTTTACGTCTTGTCAAATAATGCTGGCCAAGAGCCACTGTTTATTCTTCAAGTCTTTTAATGCAAGTAAATCCACACATCCCCACATCATTGGCATTTAAGGTGCTGACACGGGAAATCATCCAGGCACTGCTGATTTCATTGGGAGGCAAGCAACGGCTCAATTTAATTTCCTACTATAAAATTTTTATTAAAACAAGGACTAAATTACTGTACCCTTATACAGGACAATATTGCAGTGAGGTTCTCACTTGCACATCTTTGCATGCTACAGCATCCACTGCTGAAGAAGCAGAATCTGTGACTTGGGCCCTGGAAGACGTATGTGTCTATAGAAATCACAATTCATCCAGGTTCAGCATAAAGTCATTTACAAACCTCTAAGAAAATTCAGTCCTGTGTCTGGAACTACATTAAGCCTTCTTGTATCATTTTTACACTGCAGTAGCAACTCTCAATGCAACACAATTGTTTGTTTTTTTACATCAGTATGTAAAGCTTGGTCAAGTAAGATTCAAATGGTAAAACCAAGTGAAATTCATCACCCTCAATGATTCCTCTCAGCCTTAAACTTTTTTTTTTTTTTGTGAGGACAATTTACTGGCTTTTATATTTTTACAAAACGCTTGGAAATGAAACAAACATTTACTTTAGGCCCAGTATCCATGATTCTTTCTGCTCTATAAATTTTTCTGATGTCTAGGGCATTCAGGTGTGATGACAGGATCATACAAAAAAAGCAGAAAAATATGCCAAAATAACTTAATCTGAAAACATGTGTACTCACTGTTTTCAAAGAGATTATATTTCTCACAGCCAGGTGCTAGTTTGTCTGTCTGTCTGCAGCACTGATAAATTCCCTCTGTCCAGAATTTAGGGTGATATTTTATCATTATATTACTGTTGTTCTTTATTTCTACAAGAAGAAAAAGCATATACTGAAAGATATAAAACCAAAATCTGCAAGAGGGACATTTTTAATAGATATTACAATATGACATGAGACATAATCTTCATTAGTCCTCTACTTCACCATTGCTTCTCTTAAGGACCTTCTTACAAGTTTACATGGAGGAGATACAATGTTAGTAAATGACATTTTTAGAATAATACATGACTTTATTCCAGAAAAGAGTACTACACTCCCTGCCTAAACCAGCCACCTCACAGCAGGGGTTTGGAGGTCACAAAAGGAGGCCCAGGCACCCACCTGCACCCTATGAATCAGTCAGGCAGCTGTGAAGGCCCTGGAACCTCTGCCTGCCCTTTCCTTTTTATTACTGCTGCAAGTGACTCGGTTTCCTCTACAGTTAGTGTTCTGGAGGGAAAGATAGCTGATATTTACCACTATTACATGGCACAACACCTGGGTTTGGTCTGAACGGCTCCCTACCCTCACCCTAAGAGCCTGCTGAGCTTTCAGAAGTTACTCCTTGCCCCATGGTCCCCACCCCAGAAATTATTTCTCATTACTTCACAGAGCACCTGCATTTAATGTGAGCATTTGATGGTGGCAGAAAGCATTAAAAGGCTCTTAAAAAAAAAATCTTCACTCACTAGGATAACATTAATCGGATCACATCTCAGTAGAGATGCCTCCTGCCTTTTGAGTGATGCCATTAACTAGCTCGGAAAAAGTTTTTGATGATTTACACATTGTGTAAAAGCATAGAGTCAAATTCTGATTGCAGCTGGACTTCAAAAATCAAATTAAATGTCTGGGTGTCTGATACTCCCAGTACCTATTATCACATGCTGTGTATGCAAACAATGAGCTGGCCCAATTTAAAAAAAATAAAATTCAGTGGATATATGCAACAAAAGCTCTACCATTTCATTCTTCTAGCTTGTTGTGGGTTGACACCAGCCAGCAGCAAAACACCCACGCAGCCACACACCCACTCCCCTCAGCCAGCAGGACAGGGAAAGACAGAAAGAACAAGAGAAGAAAACATGTGGCTTCAGATAAAGACAGCTTAATAACCAGAAGAAAGAAAAACCCTAAAAGTAATGTTAAAAGGCATCACCATCTTCCACAAGCAGACTAATTCCCAGCCAGTCTCTGAGCAACAGCCAATATGGAAGCCAAAAAACCTCAACCCCCATCTTCCTCTATCCCAGTTTTTATTGCTGAGCACAATGTTATATGGTCCAGAATATCCCTTTGGTCAGTCCAGGTCCACTGTCTGAGCTGTGTCACCTCCCCAGCCTCCTCACTGCAGGGGTAGAAGGGGCAAAAGGCAGCCCACATGCTGTGCAAGCACTGCTCAGCAGCAACTAAAACATTGGTGTGTTTTCAACACTGTTTTGGTCACAGATCCAAAACACAGCATGAAGTTAACTCCATCCTGGGCAGACAGCTCAAGTAAAGGTATCTATGTATGTCAGATGTTAAGCATGAGCAATTTCCATTACCTTCTTTCAGATTCCTCACCCACTGATCCCGGCTTTGTGCACTTGGTGCAAATATATAAAGCGTATTGGCATCATATACAACCTGGAGGGGGGGAAAATTGTGAAAAAGTTAGAGTTATTATTCATATATGGTGCTTTCAGTTGAATAAGGAAGAATTTTGTGATGGTATATTATTTTGAAAGCATTCCTTAAAATGTTTGCTTCACACTTTGCGTTGTTCATTCTTCACTGGATTTTCTAAAAACAGTTCAATTTAATTGCTAAAGCTATTTCATAATCAGACATCCTTTGTTCCCAGCCATTGCATAATTCCTTGTGATTCTCTACTGCTCTGGGGTGATTCTTGCTTGCTTTTTTTTTTTTTCCACTGCTTGTATTGGTGGAAAACAAGTATTGTCCTGGGAGTAAGGGACCAGAGTTCCCTCTCTGGCAGTGGAATTCACCCAGACTCCAACCATTGCTTCTATTGCAAGCAGGCACAGCATCCAACCACTCATATTTTTCTTTTTCCTCCTCAATCACTATGTTCTCTGTGTTTATTTCCATTCAGTTCACAATGGAAGAAAATGCAACAAGTTTTATCTTGATTTTCTTATTCTATTCATTTAATGGTAATTAAACTTAATGCGAAAGAATGAAGACAGGGGAAATGGCTTCCAAGTAACCTGTTTTGAAGAAAGACCAGGACAAGGCACTTTCCAGCCAAAACCCAAGCAGAAAGAGTGGGAAAAACAAAAAGACCAAGTGTATGAGGCACAACTCCAAAGGGAGGGGACTGTAGGGGGAGCAGAGCTTTCTGGGGACAAGTTTCAGTCACTGATCCTGAAACACCTCCTATGCAGTCCCAGAGAGCCAGAGAACGGGCTCAGTATTTAGAAGTAACAGTAATTTCAAGCAAGTTACACCAAATGGCTTTGGCAGTATTGAAATCAGCACTGTCATTTATAGGTTATGTATAAAATGAACATACCTGAAATGGATATTTATTTTGACATGGAATAATACCATCACTTTTTACAACCTCCACACATTTTATCCTTGAAATATCCACAGATCCTTTTCTGTACTTTTTCTACAAGAGAATCGCAAAAAAACATTATGTAAAATATAACTGATTTATCTAATTCTTTTTTCAACAGAGACTTATTTTCTTTTCCACTTATGATACTGATGATGCTTTAACTGTAAAAGTAATTTGAAAAATGGGGGGGGGGGTTTATAAAGATTTACACTGGTGAAAGTGCAGAGAGCACAGTAAGACTGTTCAGTAAAAAGCACCACTTCTTTCTACATAAGGTTTCCAATCAGCTGCAAACATAGGTTTAATCTACTCTTCTTTCCAAAAAAAATAACTTGAGTGCATATGAAGACAAGCTTTGCCCTTGCTTATTTTTAATTATGATTAAAACTGGTGAGGAAAATGGGTGCCAATGCATCTCACCCGCTCCCTCACTTTGCTGCTGAAGTGCTCCCACCATTTGTGGCTACCACCATGTTTCACCAAGTTGCTAGAGAAACTAGGATGCTGCAGAGGCAGCACAAGTGCCTGCTGAGGCTGGAAGCAGAAGATAGAGCTGAAACCCATCCCTGGCCAAGCTGGGGTCTGTGCTGAAGTAAATTCTTTGACCAAGGCTAGCAGAAACTGTGGAGAAGCAAGGTCAAAAGCACAGACATCTGAGAAGATCTGGCTTGCATAAATTGATACTTATAAAGACTTTAAGGAAGGAAAGGAGTGCCCACAGTGCTCAGCAGGTGCTGCCCAAGGTGACAGTGCATGGAAATATACTGTAGTTCAACACTCCAAAGAGGAAGCTCTATGGAAGGACTACTCATAGCCAGGGGTGGGGTGTACTGGGCTTTAGTCTATGTGCAAAAGCAGTTGGTAGGAACAGCGAAGTCCACACAAAAGCAGACCTTCAAGTTGGCTGTTTCTGAAGGAACTGTTCAAAAGCATCTTCTGTTACTTGAGGCAGAAGAGGCTAAAAACAAAAGCCCAGCACAGGAATTTATAGCACACTCTACTCCATGGCAAAAGGAAACACATGAAAAATACACTTCTGAGAGCAAAATGATGATGAATCTATGAAGACTACACAGGGCCACCTCAACTGTGGGAGAACCAAGTCTCTAATAGCAGAGGAAGTTTCTACTGGAATCCAGAACAAAACAAAAATGGCAGCAGCTCATGGCTGGTCCTGAACTAATCCACATGAAAAATTTTGACTTGCCAAGTACATGCAACACATCCAGTCCAGAATGCACTTATGAAAGATGGACACTGTTGACATGACATGGAAATAATTAGTAATTGCAGAATTAGTTGAGATACTCTAATCCATATTCAACCGCCCTCTCCTCTCCTGAGAATGGAAATTTCAGCCCAAATAGCACAAGTCTGGCACAATCAGAAGTAACTGAAAACAGTCTTGTAAACAGAAGCAATGAGCAGCTTCAAATATAGTTGTCACAATTCCATCACCTTAGAAACACAATAGTTACTACCCATGGAAAACCTGGAATTTTCATCAGCATTTAAAACATATTTAGTACTGTCTCCTTTGTATACTGTTATGAAGAAAGCAGAGAAGACGTGCATGAACAATTCGTGCACTTCATGGTCAGCATCAGGAAGCATGACAGGAACTAAGTTCAGATAAAGCCATAACTGTTATTTAACAGTAGGGGAAAAAAATAAAACCAAACCCACCAAAATTAGTGAACCATTAACAAAAGGTCAAATCATAGACATTACCATGAGCTGGACTACAAAGCTCTATCATGTTATGCTGAAAAATAATTTGAACCAAGTATGCAACCTGGATTTCTAATCAAAAAAATCATGAAATCTTCTGTTTATTTTATGGTATCCCCTTACTTAAACTTTGATTGCCTAAACTAAAATGTATGTTAATGCAAGTGCCAAAAATTGAGTTAGTGATGTCTACAGCACTTCGAACAGCAGCAAATGTTGCTTCTCCCTCTCTTTACCACTGCATGGCAGGCCTAGCAGCTACAGGGCTGCCAGATAAGCCACTGTGGAACAGGAGGATCCAAATGAGATGTGCTTTTTCACAAAGCACAGAATCCAATGCTCCACATAATTGTGTTGAAGACATCTCTCCAGTCTTTATTTCTGCACAAAAACATACAAAGAAAAAATAGTTGGCACTTCTGTAAGGTATCTACTCATCTTTCTGTGTCCAGGAGGGTGCTCACGCATTGCTTGGTTCCCATCTGCTAGTTAACTGAGGTGGGGAGACAGAAAGAGGGACAGAAAGAGACAATGTGCATTGCGTTCTTTTAATCTGGAATGACAGAAATTCCTTAGAGGAATGGGCTTTATTGCTTTCTCTGAATCCTCCTCTCCTCCAAGACTTGGAGATTTTCATGCTGATTCTGGTATTCAGTGAGTGCTCAAAAGGACAGTGCCAGGAGGGCAAAGGACAGGAATCCAACAAGACAATCAACTAACAATTGGGACTGCTATTTCCTAAGGTATCCCCTTTCTCGATTTGGGTGGCTCAGTCTGCTTCACTGTGAGATGTTAATAAAGCCAACTCAAAGCTGACCTGCATTGCTATCCAATGCAGCAACTTCATTCTAATGTCAGAAATTATTCTTAAGTCTTTGCATACTTTACAGATTAAAAAAACCCTTGCGTACTGAAATTAAATACAAAAGTACATGTTTCAGATCACATTAGAAGCAACAGTTATTATTGGTCCACAGCCCTCAAATTGTCAGGTGTGCAGCTGTGTTTTAGCTCAGTAATTCTCAGTATTAAACACCCAGGGGCACAGCAGCAAAAAGGAATGACTCAAGAAAAATACTAACGACCACTGCAATTCCTTTCTCCTCCCTACTTCAATGATTTCCCTTTACAATGGGACAACTTGCACACCATTACTGTTTTGCATTTATTCTGCATGCCAAACGGCTTGCTCTAGACCCAGGCATAAAGCAAGCACGAAATGCAGCATCAAGGGAGAGCAAGTAGAGGTGCAGACATGAGCCAGCCATG